AAAAGTGTTAGAGAAATTGCATTCAACACCATTTTACTGTTCGCAATAGCCTTCATTTCGTTCATTTATTCATTCACAATGATATGTATGAGACTTTGGAAGCAATGACGATAATAACAATGATGATTGCATTGTTAACACTTCAACTGTAAGCATACATATGTACAAGCAAGCATATCGGATATATCATATGAGCTAGAGACTCATCAAATTCAAATATCAAACCGGAGTTGGATCAAAACAAATAAAAACATCATCACTCTATAAGAACGCCAATGGAATTTCGTTCGATCTATTCGGATACCTCGAAAACAACGATCAAAATGTCGAGAAATAAGTGATCACATCCATCCCATACCACCGTAACCATATCCACCATACATATTATCAACGTTGATTGAACCAATATCTAACCCGCCGTAGTTATTACCTATTCCACCGCCATACCCACCCATACCATAACCACCCCAACCGCCGTATCCCCACTGACGTTTTACCCGCCTAGAATATCAATTATCATTCTATCATACATCAAATTGCTGAGCCATTTATGATTTCTAGATATGCTCAGAAAAAATTCCTCATTTTCTCAATAATTTTACAAATTGTACAGAATATGCATTGGAACTAAAGAATTGAAGACAATTAATGAAATGATTCAAGAATAAGTTCTGAGTGAATTTGTCACTAAATAAAAAAATATGGAGTGACTCAAATACCTGAGTGGCAATCTAGGTGCTGTTGTAACGAAGGCGCTGGTGCACAGCAGCAGTTCGGCGAGGATGACGATCAGCAAAAATGTCGATCGAACAGAAATTGCTTTCATACTCTCCGTTTCTGCAACATTACGGGCTGAATATTTTTCCAATTAGTTACTTAAGTTCAGCGGCCAAATCGAAACACGAAATCATACGTGAGACAACTCACGATAAGAAAAATCTGTTTACTAGGAATCCACGCACTGGATCGTTTGGAACTGTATTATGCACAATTGCAGTTCACAAATATTGTCACCGAAACCACATATTCAAGGCTTAATTACCATCTCCAGGCATCATGCTCTCTAATTCGTGGTCCAAAATGGTAAAACTTATTTACTTTCCTCTACATTGAACCCGTCTTGGATACTGGTATAAATTGCGCTACTGAAGTAGGTAATAGATAATGAAAGTGTAAACGAAAAGCAAGACTGGGTGCAGGAACTAACTAAAGTGCAAGAACTGAACACTGTACTCAAAGCAATGGAACGTTTTGCATTTATATTGATGATTGTTCTGTATGAGGAAGTGTTGATTATAATTTGATTCGTCATTTGTTGAAATTAAGTCGTTTCAGTCCTCATCGTCACTAATTGAAACCAGTTTAATTGGCTGCCAATTTTAGTTCATAGGAAAGAGTTTTACCCACGACAATCAGATGACTAAGTTGGATAAGTCAGCCATTAAATGCATGCTCCCAATGTCGAGTCAAAAATCTTGGCGATCAAACGCTTACATCAAAGAATACACTTACAAGATTGCGGAAACTTCGAAACTTTTTGAGCAATGTATTATAGAATTTTATGATTTCTATCGGGCAATACCAATTCGTCAAACATCAAATGTTTTGAAGAAATAATTGCACAATCACTCAAACCCCCATCGTTTATCGGAATGATTCATTCGATGCATCAACACATCTAATATGCAGTTTCCGTTCAATTTCTGCGCAATTTCACTACAATCCATAGGTCCATTTACTCCATTTACCCTTACTGTTTTGATCACATTCCAGTTGAATAGTTCTGAAAATTACTGAATTCGAATAGTAAAGTTCCATGGTCGACGATGCTGCTCAAGTATGGTGACAAAAAAGGTGAGATTATGAGCAAAAGAGAGAGGATTCTGAATGTTCGAAAGTGGGCGATCGATTGTTGACGTTCAACTCTGTACCATTACCATCATGTTCTATGATTTATTGAGCTACTACAAATACGAAATGCTTATGGTAATCCATTCTTGAACTGTTTCGCATAAAGCAATCATTCTTTTTCTTTTTGAATTGCTTCTTGGAATCCCATCCAACAATGACGAATCGCAGTTGATTGTAATCGTTTGTGCTTTTTTTGAGACGACATGGACACGAAAATTTCTGTTTGGCGAGTAGTGTCAACGAAGTTTTTATGCATTTTTAGCGAACATTTTGAGCGATGATGACTCAATGAGGTGATCATTGGTGAATTAGAAAACTCTCACTGTGTTCATGAAAAACTCAAAAGCTAGAAATTGATTCAATTTTCTTTGATTTCATGGAAAATTCAAAATCTGACACTAGATCACCTAGATCTCCTTCGATCAAAATGCATTAGATTGCCTCCAGTTCTTATATGATGTGATCTACAGATATCACAGCTAACAAACAAGCTTAGTTGAGTCTTATTCGACCTTTCGATTTCGCTCATTC